CAAAATATTTACCATATTTGGGCAACATGACAAAAGTATTCTAGTGTTAAACTGTATTGATGTTTTAAAAAATATTTTATTATTTTCATTTTATTTTTTGTGTATGAGTGTATTGCCTGCATGTAAGTGAGTGCACCTGTGTTGTACAAATGCTATGGAGGTCAGAAGAGGATTTGGATTCCCCTGGAACTGGAGTTAAGGATAGTTTGTAGCCACCATGTGGGTGCTGGGACTCAAACCTGGGTCCTCTGCAAGAGCAGTCAGTGCTCTTAACCGCTGAGCCATCTCTCCAGCTCCTAAAATAGATTTTAATCTCTGATCTCTCTCTCTCTCTCTCTCTCTCTCTCTCTCTCTCTCTCTCTCAATCTAGTGCCTCACACATAAGAGATAAGCACTCTACTGATGAGCTGACCCATGTCCCCAGCCCCTCACTGAGGGATTCTAAGTAGGTGCCTCTCTACCACTGGGCTATATTGTCAACTTCTGATTTTTCTCTTTTACAGATTGTTTTGGCTATTTTCATTGTTTGATTAGCTGAAGAATTCTGTCCCATTTCTCCATGTAAGTTCCATGAGAATTTTGGTATGATAAAAATATTTGGAATTGTAAAAATAGAATTGTAAAAAATTTTTATTGTGCAATAAGTAGAGCATTTTGTTTAAGATGTGCAAAGCCCTGGGTTCAGTCTCAAAAACTCAAACCAAAAATGGTTAATTGCAGAACAAAGTGCACACATACACACAACACAGAGCCAAGTCCATGAAACCACATAAAACAGTTGCATATCTAAGGGGGAGTTTTCAACCAGGGCCATTTTGTTACTTATGGATATTTTGCAATATCCAAAGACTTTTTTCCTCTCAGTGGTGGAAATGAAGCCCAAGACTTCACTCACACTAGGCAGGTGACAGATCACTGAGCTACATCCCCAGTCCAGGAAGCATTTTTAAGGCCTTTTTTAAAAAATATATTTTATTTATTATTTTATGTATATGTGTGTATTGTCTGCGTGTAGGTAAGTACACCCATGTCATGCAATGCCCAGGGAGGACAGAAGAGGCTGTCAGATCCCCTGGAACTGGAAGTTACAAATGGTTGTTAGTCTGCCATGTGGTGCTGGGATTCGAACTCGGGTCTTTTGCAAGAACAGTCAGTGTTCTTAACCGCTGAACCATCTCTCCAGCCCCCAGGAAGCATTTTTTTAACGTGTGTGTTTTGCCTGCATGTAAGGTCACCATGTTCATGCAATGCCGGTGGAGACCAGAAGAGGGCATCAGATCCCCTGTAACTGGAGTCAGGGTCAGTTGTTAGCCGCAGCCGCCATGTGGTGCTGGGAATCAAACCTGAGTCCTCTGCAAGAGCATTCAGTGCTCTGAACCCCTGAGCATCTCTGCAGCCCCTTTGTTGTTGTATTTTGAGACTCTCACTATGTAGACCAGGCTGGCCTGGAACTCACAGAGATCCACCTGCCTCTGCCTCCTGAGTGCTGGGGTCAAAGGTGTGTGCCACCACGACTCGCTTGTTGTTGGATTCCGTTGTTTCCACATTTATTTAATGTGGGGAGAGCACACACATGCCAAAGCATACTTGTGGAGATCAGAGGACAACCTGTGTGAGTTGGTTCTCTCTTTCACCGTGTGGGTTCCAGAGATCAAACTCAGGTCATGAAGTTTGACAGTGAATACCTTTCCCTACTGAGTTATCTTGCCCACCTTGTTTTTGTTGTTGTTGTTTTTGGTTTATTTTTTTATTTTATTAGTATGAGTGTTTTGCCTGCATATATGTAAGTACACCTGTGTCATTCAGTGCCAGCGAGGGCCAGAAGATGGTGTTGTGTGGCATTACCATGCCAACATTACAATTACACCTGAATAAGCAGCCTGACTCTTAACTTTAGTTTTGAAGAGTGGGCCCAAACTCAGAGGGCATCACTTCTGTTCCCCACATATCTCCTGGAACTCTGCCATTGTGCTAGGCTTCACCCATAATTTTATTTAAAACCATTTCTACAGCTTCAACTGGGGAATTCCAAACTTGGATCCACCCTTATTTTATCAAACAATCTTGACCTTTCATCCCTAGATCTAGAACATCTCATACACACGTTATTAAGCATTCTTCTCAGTCTTCATTGTTTTTAATGCACTGCCTTTCAGCGTTTCGATATGTTAATTCTCAAGCAAACCCACATCCGCTTACTATATTTGGGTGAAGCAGCAAATTGAGGTCCCAAGGCAGAATCAAGATCAGATGTCCAGGTCACAAGAGCACATGGTTGAGTGACTGTAGTTTTTTTGGTCACAAAGTTAAAAATCATTAGTCCAAGTCCTGTCCATTTTATAAAAGTCATTCCTACAGTGTTGGATCCCTGGAAATGGCATTAGAGACAGTTGTTAGCCTTCATGCGGGCGCTGAGAACCAAATCTGGAGCCTCTGCAAGAGTAGCCAGTGCTCTTACCACTGAGCCAGCTCTCCAGCCCATTGTTTTTGGGTTTTGAGAGAAAGTCCCATGTAGCCCAGACTGGCCTACAACTCACTGTGTAGCCAAGGATAATTTTGAACTCTGATCCTCTTGTCTCTACCTCTGGAGCCCTGGGGTGACAGGTGTGCAGCACCATTCTCAGTTTTATGCAGCACTAGGGATGGAACCAGGCCTGTATACATGCTAGGAAAACACTCTTAACAACTGGGTCCCAGCGCCAGCTTTGTGTTTTCTTTTTATTCACTTATTCTTATTTTATGAGTATGAGTGTTTTTCCTGCATGTATATAAGTGTGTCCATGTTGTACAATGCCTACAGAAGCCAGAAGAAGGTGTCAGATCCCCTGAAACTAGAGTTGAGGACAGTTGTTAGCAGCCGTGTGGGTGCTGGGAACTGAACCTGGGTCCTCTGCAAGAGCAGCCAGTGCTCTTAACTGCTGAGCCATCTCTCCAGCCCCACTTTGTGTTTTCTTAAACCACTGAATTTGTGACTGTTATTATAGCAGTTGTAGGAAACTATGTTGGTGAATCTTGATTGTGATGACATTTAGAATCACCATGGAAATAAGTCTCTGGACATGCCAGTGAAGAGATTATCTATACTGGGTTAATTGAAGTAGGAGGGCCACCCTAAGTGTGAATGACAATGTTCCTTCCATGGGACTAAATAAAAAGAGAACCTAACCTAAGCCCTAGCCTTCATCACTGATGTAATGTGACAGGCTGCCTCCCACTCCTGCTGGGAGTGTGACGGACTGTGTACCCTGGAACTGTGAGCCAAAATTAACCTTCCTTCCGTAGTTCCTTTGTCCATTATTTTGTCTCATTGGCACAAATAACTTAGACAGAAACTAATACTAATACTCATCTGTTTCTTTTTTTCTTCCACAGGAATCCTGGTTCTCAGGGACAAGGAGGATAAGATTAGAATATCTCATAAATACTCATTGGCTTCAATGAATATTGTTCAGCCAACAGTCTCAGGATAGTACCACCCATAGCCTTCATCACTGCTATTGTTCAAAGCAAGTGCCTGCCTGAATGATGGCTCAGTAGTGGGGCTGGAGAGACAACTCAGTGGTTAAGAGTACTTACTGCTCTTCAGAGGAACTGGGTTTAGTTCCCAGCACCCAAGTGGCCACTAACACATGTCCTTAACTCTTTTTCCATGGGATCCAACACCCTCTTCTGACCTCCAAAGGTATTGAACAACACAGGTGCACTTACATACGTGCAGACAAAACACTCATACACATAAAATAAAAATAAAATCTTTATTAAAATTTTTAAAAATTTATAAAGATGTCTCAGTCAGTAAAGCACTTGCCATACAAGCCTGACCACATGAGTTGATCCCTGGAGTGTATGTAAAGGTAGAAGGAACCAGCCTACAACCTTGTACTCTGACCTTCACACACACACACACACACACACACACACACACACACACACATATACACACACACAAAATAATGAAAATAATAATAATAATAATTTAAATTTTTGAGACAGGATATCACAATGTAACCCTGGCTGGCCTGGAACTTACTATGTAGACCAGGCTCACCTTGAACTCACAGAGATTCTCCTGCCTCTGCTTTCTGAGTGCTGAAATTAAAGGTGTGCAGCACTATGCCTAGCCCAATACTAAACCATTTTAATGTATATTTTTATTGAGTTCTTACGCATTTCATATGCATTTCATATTAATCAAATTTTAGACTCCTCTCTCCCATCCGCACCCCCGCCACTGGATTTCATGCATTCATGCATATATGTTAAGGCCTATTCAGTCATTTTAAATCATTTGTTTAATCCAAGCACTTGGGAGGCAAAGGCAGATGGATCATAGTGAGATAAGAGGCCAGCCTAGTCTACATAGTGAGTTCCAGGCCAGCTGGGGCTTCAAGGAGACCTTGTCTCAAAAAAACAGGGAAAAAAAGCCCACCACAAACAAAAATACAAATACAAAGGAAGAGAAGTAAGAAAGAAGCCATCGGAATGGCTCAGTTGGTGAAGGCTCTCGATGCCAGGCCTGACAGCCTGAGTTTCATCCCTGAGACTCACATGGTAGAAGGAGAAAACTGACTCCCACAGGTTGTCTGCTGACCTCCAAATATGTGCTGTGGTACACATGCACACACATGCATACACACAAATAAATAAATGTAACAGAAAGAATTTGAAAAGAAAAGAAAAAGGAGCAGCCTAGCACTCAAAGGGGGAGATGGGTGTGGTGGTAAACCCTTTAATCACAGTGCTTGGGAGACAGAGGCAGGCAATCTCTGTGAGAACGAGGCCTGCCTGGACTACACAGTGAGTTCCAGGCCAGCTGAGGCTACAAGGAGACCCTGTCTCAAATAAATAAATAAATAAATATAAATAAATAAATAAATAAATAAATAAGCAATGACCTTAGACCTCATTAACGACATCCATCACACACACATACACACACACACACACACACACACACACCTCATTGCTGACACTCTTCATATTCTTATTAGAAAATGTGACCCTTCTCTGACCCACCCTGTCCCTGGCTGACAGGAAGGAGAAGCAGGCTGCCAGCCACGTCAGAATGCACATGAAGCCCTTGGCAGCCACTTCGGGCTGCTTTGCCCTTTTGAAGACCTCTTACACACTGTGAGCACCCCACCCCACTCCTGTCTGGAATGTCCAGCTGCCTCAGAGAGGTGGAGGCTGTCTCTCAACACCCACACCCCAACATTAGGGCCAAGGACCCATATGAGGTATTCAAAGGACAGCTCAGCCTCAAGGTTTACCCTCTGCTATGCCCTTCCCTCCCTCTAACTCCAAAGTCGCTGGCCCACATCCAACTAGTCTGCCTCCACTCACCGTTCCACCCTGGTACCTCCTCCATCCCCAGAGCTCTGGAATTCATCTCTCTGCCACCTGTGGGGATGGAGAAACACATCATTACTGGCAAGTGTCTCACCCCTGACACTGGGGCCTGGGCTCCCTTCCCTAGCTTTGACCAAGTTGGGTTACTGCACAGAGGGGTTCCCCATATCGTAATGATTTGGGAAAGTGGGGTGTCCTTGAGTTTCACAGAAGCTTCCTAGCCTCAGGTGGGCTTGTTTAATTATGTTTATTTTATTTTATGTGGATGTTTGCTTACAAGTACATAAGGGAGCCTGTGGGTGTAATACCTGCAGAGGTCAGAAGAGAGCATCTGAAGTTACAGACAGTTGTAACTATGTGGATGCTGGGTACCGAGCTCATACCCTCTGCAAAGGCAGCCAGTGCTTTTAACTGCTGAGCCATCTCTCTCCAGCCCTCAGGTGGGGTCTAACCCACGAGTTAGGATGCTAGACACTCATGTTACACAAAATTCCCACTGAGTCAGTGGTCTATAGATTCTTGTGTTATAAAATAGAAGAATGAGGGGCTGGAGAGATGGGTCAGCAGTTAAGAACACTGGTTGTTCTTGAAGAAGACCCGGGTTCAAATCTCAGCACCCACGTGGCAGCTAACACTGTCCTTACAGGGTATCCGACAGCCTCTTCTGACCTCCGCGGGCATTGCACAACATGGGTGCACCTACCTACATGCAGGCAATACACGCATACACATAAAAATAGATAAATAAATAAATAATTTTTTTAAAATAGAAGAATGAAATTCACAGAGAATGGAAGGATAAGTTTAGGAAGGAATATAATATAGATTTATAAGTAGGCGCTTAAGATAAAGAATTAAGGGTTGGAGAGGTGGTTCAGAGGTTAAGGGCAATGGCTACTCTTGCAGAGGACCTGGGTTTGAAGACAAGCACCCACATGGCAGCTAACAACCGTCTGTAACTCCAGTTCCTGGGGATTCAATGCTCTCTTCTGGCTTTCACAGACATTGCACACACATGCTGAAATTATATACATGCAGGCAAAACACTCATACACAAAAAATAAACTTTTTTTAATTAAAAAAAATATATAACAAGAATTCAGAAGATCTGGAAGCAGCGCCCCCTTGTGGCATTCTTGGCCACTGGACAGGGCAGAACCCAGGACATTTCCAGCAGATAGCCAAGAATCTTTCAAGGTCTATGCCTTCGACTGCCTAACCAGTTTCTATCTCTTGTCCTCTGTACAGAAGCCTCTCTGAGTCTAGTTTAAAGGTACATAAGTGCACCTGTCATTGTTACTCTTTAAAAAATATTTCTGGGGCTGGGGAGATGGCGCAGCGGTTAAGAACACTGGTTGTTCTTGCAGAAGACCTGGGTTCAAATCCCAGCACCCACATGGCAGCTAACAACTGTCTATAACTCCAGTCCCAGGGCTTCTGACAGCCTCTTCTGACCTCCGCCAGCATTGCATGACATGGGCGCACTTACCTACATGCAGGCAATACACGTATACACATAAAATAAAAATAATAAAAAAATATTTCTTTTTAATTATGTGTTTTCCTGTGTGTCTATGTTGGGGTACATGCACATGAATGCAAAGTGTCTGTGGAGGCCAGAAGAGAGAATCATATCCCCCAGAGATGGTGTTGCAGGTGGTTGTAAGCTGTCCAAAGTGTGTTCTGTAATTCGAACTTGGGTCCTCTGCAAAATAAGCAGTACTCACTCCTAACCATTGAATTATCTCTCCAACTCCAATTCTTTTACCCTTTACACCCTACAGGCCTCGCTTTCTCGTTTTTAAAATATTTTATTATTGTTATTTTAAATTTTCTTTATTGTTAAATTTTTTTATTTATTTTATTTTATGTGTATGAATGTTTTGCCTGCATGTATGTAAGTGCATGCGTGTTGTGAAATGCCTGAGGAGGTCAAAAGAGGGCATTGGAACTGGAGATACAGATGGTTGTTAGTTGCCATATGGGTCATCCACAAGAGCAGTCAGTGCTCTTAACGCTGAGCCATCTCTCCAGCCATATATATATATGTTTATGAGTGTATTGCCTGCATGTGTGTAAGTGTACCCATGTTGTTCAGTCCTCGAAGAGGCTAGAAGAAGGCATGGGATCTCCCTGTAGCCCCAGCTGGCCTGGAACACTATGTAGACAGCCTGGCCTTGATCTCACAGAGGTCTTCCTGCCTTTGCCGCCCAGTGCTGGAATTAAAGGTATGCAGTACCCTACTCGGTATTTTTTGGCGGGGAGGGGCCAGGGTCTCACTATCTAAAACAGGCCCACCTCTGCTTCCAGAGTGCTGGGATTAAAAGTGTGCACCACCACATCTAGCTAACCTTTTGTTCTTAGTCCATATTTATTTAAACTTATCATGAAGAACTGGCAAGATGGCTTAGCAGGTATACACACTTGCTACCAAGCCTGATGACCTGAGTTTGAGCCTCATGACTCACGTGGCGGAGGGAGAGAACTGTCTTCTTCAGATTATCCTCTGAGCTCCACACTTGTGCCGTGTACATGTGCATCCACCCACATACACACACAAATAGATGTAATAAACTGTAAATTTTAAGGCTGGGAGTGGTGGCACATGCCTTTAATCCCAGCACTTGGGAGGCAGAGGCAGGTGGATCTCTGTGAGTTTGAGGCCAACCTGGTCTACACAGTTCCAGCCCCAACTCAGCTGGGGCTACAGGGAGACTCTGTCTTAAAAAAGACTGAAAAAAAAAGTAAATTTTAATAAATAAAAAGAAATGGATACCAGGAGAAAACAAGCATTTTTTTTTTTTTTCAGGAGCTAAAGCGGTGGCTCCATAAAGAGCACTGGCTGCTCCTACAGAGGATCCAGGCTAGGTTCCCAGCACCCACATGGTGGCTAACAACCATCCATAATTTCAGTTCCAGGGGATCTGATGCCCTCTTCTGTCCTCTTGGGCACTAGACACACTCATGTTACACATACATACGTGCAGGCAAAACACTCATACATAAAAAATAAATCTAAAAAAAAAATTTAAAGAAAAGGAAGCTGGGCTAATCCCAACACTCAAGAGGCAGAAGCAGGAGGATCTCTATGAATTCAAGGCCAGCCTGGTTTTCTACAGAGTGAGTTCCAGGTCAGCCAGAGCTACATAGTGAGACCCTGTCTGGGGAAAAAGAAAAGAAAAGAAAAGGTGCGCTCACTGGCTTGCTGCTCCTGTAGAGGACCTGAGTTCAGCACACACACACACACACACACACACACACACACACACACACAAATTTGAGAAATTTTTTAGCCAGGAGTAGTGATACACATCTTCAATCCC